AGTTTGGCATGAAGTGTTTCAACTTGGCTTCGGTCGTTGCGTCCACCGCAGAATGAAAAGAAGCCAATAAAAAAGCATCAGTCTCCCAGGAATTCACCTTGCTTATTATACCAGTGGTCAGTTACCTCAACTTGACCAAGTTTCTTGCGAGCCATTGCTTTAACATTTTTGTTCGTGTCGATGTGCCATCGACATACCATTGCCGGTATCCCTTCTAACACACGACCAATCGCGTTTATATACGCATGATCTCGATCCGACAAAACCACCCCAGGCGGCATCCTTCTCAATAAAAAAATAAGCGCATCATGTTGAGAGCCCACACGTAGTTTTCCTGTTTTTCGCCTGGCAACCAGCACTGCGCAACAGGGAGTACTGTGTTGAATCCTGTCACTGCAATGATGTTGAACAGAGGTATCTTGAATTTATTGGTTTTGTACGTGCAATCCACAACGAGGACGTCGTGGTGCCTCCTGTACAACTTTGCTGTGCAAGGATGAGCCCAAAGCAAATAACGAAGCTCTTGCGTGTCAGGATTGATATCGTAGCGATAGAAAAAGCCTTGCTTACTTAGCTCTGGAAAGAGCGCCTCCATTGCTGCCTGAGTTGAAAGTTCTCGGCGCTGGACAGCGTTCCTTGTGTTAGCAATGTCTTTGAGAGTCACGAATGGGTCGGGGGCGGCTTGAGATAGGGTAGCTCGAATGCTAGCTACAGACACACCAGCAGCAGTATGCGCTTCCACCAAAGCTTGGGCCAAGCTGCTAGAGCTGAGAACGACTTCACTAGCGGCAGCGCGCTGGCGATGACACGCGTGCACTCTTGCGTCTGCAGACGGAGGGTGGCTATGGACTCGACTTCCGTTCCGAGTGTGAACAATTTCCCAAGGACCATGTGGTTCATCAAATGACACGCTTTAAGGACCAATTTCATCTTGCACCTCATGTGCTTAGATCCACGCACATGACGGACACGATCTTGATCGTGCAGATGCTGCATCTCCTTTTGCACACCTGTTCGGTCACAGTCCAAATCCAGTCCCATAACTTACCTAGACAACCGCGTCCACGGCTCGGGGG